TATTAGGATGCATTTCTTCATGGGAGGGGTTGTCTGCCCAGGCAGTGGTGGAGTCACTGTCATTAGCAATATTTTTAAAAAAGCGTTGCTGTGTGCTGTGGTGCTTAGGGGCATGGTTAAGTGGTGGACTTGTCAGTGCTGAATTAGTGATTGAACCTGATGATCTTAGAGACCTTTTCCAACCTTAATGATTCAGTGATTCTATGACTGGCCTCTAGAAAGCTTGGATCAGTTCTGCTTTTCCACAAGAAATGCACAACTGAAGTGCATATTTGGAAAAAAAAGCCGAATATATGAATACTTAATATATTAAAATCCTGTTTCCATACAGAATTTCTGTGTAGGTCTCTGTAATTCCATGATTCTGTGAACTATGCATGAGCAGAGCCAGCTCTCTGCCAGCTCCTGATTACTGCACACTCTTCCCATCACAGGGATAACTCACCAGTGTCAGCTTCTTCTCCAGTTTGGCTGCATTAGGGATCCTGTCAATATTCTGGATCTCTTGATATGCTTTGTGAACCTTCCAGGCAATCCCCAAGTAACAGGCAACGATGGTCAGCGCAGGCAGGACTGTGCACAGGAGGAACATGGTGAGGATGAAGGAGAAACCATTGGAGGAGTTGTGGAACTTGCTCCAGGCTATTGTACAGGAGATGCCAAAGGGCTCAGGGCCATAGTAGCCCCAGCCCACCAAGGGCAGGATGGCCCAGAGCAAGGAATAGAGCCAGATAAAAGCAATCAGGATGCAGACAGTGTTCTTGGTGATTTTGTTACCTGCAAGAGAGGAAGAACAAGAGTATATGGATCCCATCCCACCTCATGGGGGTTTGCCATAACTTCTCCTTAGACAGAAGGATGGTGGCTACAGATACACCTGGGCTGCTGCTGCAGGTCCCTAACCTTCGGGCTTCTAGAGGAACAGAGTGTCAGAGGATTGGATGAGACCTGAACACAGCCCTCAGTGCCCAAATAGTAAGGCTGGGAGCTTTACAAGATGAGTTTCACCTCAAATGTGCTGCAGTCCCGGCCCAGGAATGCCAGAAGAATATTCCTTCCTTTTAAATTCCAGTGTATCTGCTTGGATACAAACAGGAAGGGAAGGCAGTCTGCTCCAGGAAAATGCTTATGCTCTCCATTCTCAGGTAGTTTCACTTGGTAAAACTGAGAAGTGAAAAACCTCCCTGTTTCTTACAGAATTTAATCAGATCCTTCTGGGAAGAGCAGGATTTGATATTGCACTAGCAGCTGAGGCTTATTCAGCTGTTACTGACCTGATACTCCACACCACATTCCACAAAGCACCTCCCAGAGCAGCCCGGCCCAAGCACAGCACCAACAGGTGACCATTCAGGCGATTTACTCACTGTTGGATTTGGAGGAGTTGGTGACGAGGAATCGGATCACGGCCATGGCACACAGGGTCATCATGCTGCAGACCCCGAACAGGAATCCCATCAGGGCGTAGTACACACAGGAGGCATCTCCCCCCAGCCAGGCGTGGTTCCAGGCAGATGCAATGGCCAGGGGGTACATGCTGAGGGCCATCCCAATGTCTGCCACTGCCAGGTTCACTGTCAGCAGCTCTGGCGACTTCAGCAGGGAAGAGCGCTTCACAGCCGTGGCAAGGACAGCTGAATTCCCAAGGATTGTCAGGATGGCTGAAAGGGAAGGATCGACACAAACAAGAATTTCACACAGTTTACACTCCTGTGAAATCCACTGGAAGTATGTGAAGTGCCTCAGAGGGGCTACAACACGGCTGAGGAGGGACTTTTTACGAGATTATGTAGTGCTAAGGGTGAATGGCTTCAAACTGAAAGAGAGCAGGTTTAGATTTGCTATTAGGTGTTCTTCCCTGTGAGGGTGGTGAGGCCCTGGCAGAGGTTGCCCAGAGAAGCTGTGACTGCCTCTGGGTCCCTGGAAGTATCCAAGGCCAGGTTGGACATGGCTTGGAGCAACCTGGGATAGTGGAAGGTGTCCCTGCTCATGGCAGGGTTTGGACTGTCCTGCCACGGTCTGCCCGTGTGAAAAGTCACTTTCTGTCTTTTTTATAAGCCCCTTTAAGTACTGTAAGGCCACAATGAGGTCTCCCTGTAGCCTTTTCCAGAGAGAATCCCCAGCTCTCCCAGTCTGTCTCCAGCCCTCAGAGCATCTCTGTGGCCTCCTCTGGAGCCACTCCAGCAGGTCCACATACTTCTTGCACTGAGAAAGAATATCCCCACTTCTCCTTCCTGCTGAAGTACTCCAGCCATCCTGCCCACCTGTCCCCTGCACTTCCCAAAGCCTTCCTTCCCTCTATGTGACTTCATCTTCAGCTGCAGCACTGGGCTCTGGGCTGCCTGGGTGCTGGGCATGTGCTGGCTGGCAGCTCAGAGTCCCTGCTGATCCCTGAGAACGAACATCACTGTTCTGGTGGCCTCAGAGTAGTGGGACCATGGGAGTTGTTTAGCCAGGGGCGTGCAACAGACCCAGTGCTGTCAGACATGCATTATTCAGGTGAGCCACAGGGCTTCAAAGTGCTGGTGACAGCAGTGTCAGAAGTACATGCACCAAACTCATTTTCTCTCTTCTTTCAAGTGAACATGGTGCTGTACCAACATTTTGATGAAAGGTTTTCCTGAGGTGGTGTCCTCTAAAGGCAGACGTGGAAGAGGGAGACAGAAAAAGATTCTGTCATGTTCCCTTGTGGCTGCATTTGCTCACAGGTACCACTTAAAAATGCCCACAGAGGACTTAATAGAGGCACATGCAATAAATAGATTGGCATAAGTACAAAAACCTCAGAGGTGTCAAGAGAAAGGCTTAACTGAAATGGGGACACAAATCTGAGACCCCATGTCCCTCCTTCATTCACTTTCCGACCACACATGTTCACTTGGCACCCATGGATGCCCTTGAAGGGTTCCCTGAGCTCTCAGGATCTCTGTGTCTGCTTGGTCACTTGCTGACAGAGCAACCTGTGGCTCAGTGGGCAGAGCACTCTCCACAGTCTGGGGCATGAAATCATGGAATCAGAGAATCTTTTGAATTAGAAAACACCTCTAAGATCATTAAGTCCAACCATTCCCCAGCACTGACCAGGCCACCTCTAAACCATGTCCCCAAATGCCACATCCTCACAGCTTTTAAATCCTCCCAGGGATGGTGACTCCACCACTGCCCTGAGCAGCCTGTTCCAATGCTTCACAGTCCTTTGCATGAAGAAATCTTTCCTAATATCCAGTCTAAACCTGCCCTGGTGCGACTTAAGGCCATTTCTTCTTGTCCTATCCCTGTTCTCTGGGAGCAGAACCCAAACCCCCCCTGGCTGTCCCCTCCTGTCAGGGAGTTGTGCAGACACAGAAGGTCCCCCTGAGCCTCCTTTTCTCCAGGCTGAGCCCCTTTCCCAGATCCCTCAGCTGCTCCTGGTGCTCCAGCCCCTTCCCCAGCTCCATTCCCTTCTCTGGAGTCACTCCAGTCCACGGTTCTGTTTCTCGAAGTAAGGGTCCCAAAATAGAACATCCTCAGGCTTCAGGAGGAAAAATGAACCCAGTTCACTTTCTTCTGTAAGAGCCCAACCCTACTCAAGATGCAGGAAGCAGCTCCATCATCAGAGATGACCTCCAGGCCCAGGCTCTCTTTTTCCTTGACAGAAGCTCTTCCCCTCCATCCCACAGCCTGTTGGCACAGGACAGAGCTGTGACTGTGGGACCAAAGAGCTGGTGGTGAGTGCTGCCACCCATGCCCTGGCTTTGTTCCAAACAAAAACATCATTTCAAGGCACAAACGTGCAGCCCCAGTGAGGTGACCAAGCTATGGATAAAAACCTGCTTCCAGTTCAGCTCACTGCTTTATTTCTGAGCATCCCTGCAGGATGCAGTGAGCCTGGCTGCCACTCAGGGCTCTGGATCTGATGCTGGAAGCTGTGCCTGGAGTTTCAGTGCCTCAAAGTCCTTTAGGGGAGGTGTGAGACTGCACCATGGTGGAACACGAACCAGGGAGCTCCAGCCTCCAGCCCTTTTTTGCTGTCCCTTCCCACTGCCTTAACTGCATCTATGTATTTACATTTCTGAGAGAAGGGAGCTGGCATCCTGACTTGAAAAAGCCCTTCATTGTTTTGTAAACAGGGATTTTCTCACCCTGAGTTTTGCTCTGCTGTGCAGAACAAGAGGAAATACAAAGTGCTGAAGTCCAGCACTTCTGCCCAGAGCCTCAGTGTTAAAGCACATGAAAATATAGGCTTGTCTTTCTTATGTCAGCCAAAGTTTTCAAGGGAGCTGAAGGAAGAAATATTAGGAAAAATTCAGGTGGAAAGCATGCCTAAATAAGTTCCATTCCTCTCCAAATCCACGAGGGTAGAAAACAAATTCTGTATACATGCAAGAAACAGACAAGGAAGAAAACACTTAACTGAAGCCAGGGGCTGGTAGTTATCCCCACTTGTATTTCATTCTCAATCTGCCTGCAGCAGGGCAAACAGGCTGCTGCCAGACCCAGAACTGCTCTTTGGAAACACTTTGCTGTTCTGCAGCAGTTCATCCTACTGAGACACAGCAGAACAACACTTCCCCCACCAAGGGTCAGCCCACAGCTGCTTTCCCCTGACCAGCCCCATGGATTGAGCTGCCCTGGCTCTGTTCTCAGGGCTGAGATGCCACAGAAAGTGACAGACAACTTATTTCAAACACTTGTGATGCCACAGAGGAAAATTTGTGCTGGCCATTCTACAGCATTAAAACAAAATATTCCAAATCCAAGAGTGGAGATTAATGCTGGCTGCCAACCAACTCCAAGGCACTAAGCAGGGGAACCTGTAGGGAAATATTTGCTGTCATTTCCCTCTAGGTTCTTTTGCCTGACCACTGCACGGACAGGGAATCCCTGTATCCCTGTTCCCTAGCTTCAAGCAAACAAGCAGGCTGTGAACTCACCTATGATTAGAAGAAAGACCCCAGCTCCATAATCCACTACTGGGTGGAGTTTGGAAATGTACTGCTCCTCCATGGTCCCCTGTGGAGATGGGTGAAGGTTTTCAATCAAAGCTGAAGATGCTGCAGGAGCAAAGAGCTCGTCCTCATGGTTTTCCTGCTGCAGGTGAGAGCTGGTGTTGGGTGCTGGCAGTGCAGGGACTCTTCTGCTGCCTCCTTATCCTGCCTCTGGTGTGGCAGGGGAGAAGCCTGGAGTGAGAGGAAGGATTTCCCCCTGGGAGGCAGAGTGAAAGCCAGGCAGAGCTGCTGCCAGAGCAATCCCGCCTGCCTGGCTGGCAGAGCATCTCTCCTCCCACCCCTCCTCTCCCACCCTTCTGCTCCTTGGCTTGTTGGGAAGATTCACAATGCAAATCCCCTCAGATGAGCAAAACCAATTGTTCTTCAACCATCAGCAGCTCTGGGAAATAAAGCCAGGCTGAGGGGGCAGGCAAGGGAAGGAAGGTTGGGAGTTTTGTTTTCCAGCTTCATGGCTGAGTATGGGAGACACGAGGTTGGGGCAGGAGTCTCTGAATTGAAGTGTTAGAGGAAAGGTGTTTGCTGCAGGGCCTCAGCAGGGTCAAAGTCACACCACTGAAGACAGGACTGTCTGAGCTGCTCCAGTGCACAACGAGAGGATGCTCCATCCAGTGCAGTGCACCAGAGGACCAACCTCTGAGGTCACTCTGTGACACTCTGGCGTTCTGACTCGGCAAGCAGCCACAGGAACACCTCACCTCCATGTTTTCCTTCTCCATATAACATCTGAGCCTAAAATCACTACAATGAACAACCTGGTTTAGTGGGTGGCATCCCTGCCCATGGCGAGGGGCTGGAACTAGATGGTCTTTAAGGTCCCTTCCATCCCAAACCATTCTGTGATTCTGTGATAAGGAATTTTAAAAGTCACAAGAGCATGGGGGCATCTCAAGTGTGATTTAGGTGGAATTGGAATTTAGGTGCTCAAGTATAGAAGTAACAGCCTAAATTTAGGAATCTGAGAGACTTTAAAAGCTTTTGGTTTCAGCAAGGTTTTGTGTATCTCCAAGCATGGAGAATCCACAACAGTTGTTCCAGTGCCTTTTTTGTTCAAAGTCTCACACAGTTCTGGAATAAAGACACTACCCAAATGAAAAGGAAATCCAGCAGCTGCTCACGAGCTGTTCAGTGCAGGTGTCCCTCACTGAATGTTCCTCAGCAGAGGAGATCCAGCTGAATGAATGTGGGTGGTTGTTGCAATGCTCTCAAGCCATGGGTGTATAAACAAGACTCAGCATAGGGAAGTAGGATATATATAGTGTTAATCATAAAAGGAAGTCCTTTTACCAGAATAGAATAAAAAAGAGAAGAGGTGATGTCTCAAAAACATGCCCAGTACTGAGAGTTTCAAACAGCTTGGTCAATTCAGTGTTGTCTGTGTAAGAAAGAGAGGTTACCATTTGATAGCATTTTGGGGGAGTGTCCTGGTTCTGGCCAGGACAGGGTTAATTCTCAGTAGCCAGCAGGGGTATGGCCAGAACCTGGAGGTGATTCTATAGCACCTGGGCAGAACAAGGACAGGGAGAAATGTCTGCTGATGTAGCAAAAGACACAAATCCTGTGGCAGAAAGTGGAAAATTGCCACATTTTCTCACTTAATCCAGTACACAAACCCATTGTGCTGGTTTACAATTAAACAATTCCAGATCACCACAGAGAGGATGGAATCTGACTGCTCACCTTGCTAAATCTGCAGAACAGCTCCTGGCACTGGTTTGGGCTGGGCCAGCTGGCACTGTCCTGGCATTCCCAGGCACAGCCTTGATAAAACGAGCCCAGGATTGTTCCCAGCAAGCAGTAACATCATCAGCTTTGAAAACAAAATGTTTTGTTCCCTGGTACACATGTTGCCAATGGGTTCTGCTCTTGTCCTAAGTGCAAACATTTACATTCTCAAGGTTCAACCATTGGATGAGGATTGACTGGTTTAAAGTTCTTGAACAGAGCTTTAAATTCTGATAAAACCCTTTTTTGATAAAATTCCTGGCCTGTGCTATGCAGTCATCTCACCTAAAATTCCTTTATGGCCTTTCTTGGTGAAACCATGGCAGAAGGCTCAGTTCAAGGAGCTGATGTCACCCAGTCCCAGCCAGATCTCCTGATTTCTCACTTGTTGCATGGCCCATCTTCTCTCTACTGAAATAAAACACTGCCTTTCTTCAGGGAAGCAAGGAGACCAAAGGCAAGATTAAAACGTTTTGCTGATAATTTAATTGCTAATTATTATTTAATTACTGGAGACTCCACTGGCTATAGGAGCCCAGTCCTGTGCCAGCTCTTGTGGGCACCTTAGATTACACTGTGTGGCTCCTTCATGCTGGTTTAGATGGCACTTCATTTATTGTGAAACCCTCAGCTTAGCATTCACATGGGGTGGGATTACATCAACAGTCCAGTTACGAAATGGAAGAAAAGAAAATGAATGATTGAAACCAGAAGAGCTGATGGATCCCAAACCCAGTGCATTATTCATGTGCTGTTTAACAATAGCAAGTTGTGCTCATCACCATCTTCCTGCACATCACATAAAGCCATATTATCTGTTCACAACAGCCCAAGTTTATACATCTTGACAAATCCAGATTTGGGGGGCTCATATTTTAGAATTGTTTTGTGATATTTATTTTTTATTTAATAAAGTATTGATGAAATGAAGCAGACAGAAGGATGAAGTTGATATCTACTAATTTCTGAAAGGTTTTGTGAAACTTCAAGCAAAAAATGAACTCACCATGAAACTATTACACATACTTGATGTAAATATGGACATATATACAAGTTCCCATTGTTGGCATAAAACAGGGTTGAGGAATTACTTGATGCTACCAAGTAAGAATGCCCTACAACTTTATTTTTACTTTCCACAGGGAAAAGACATAGAGTATACTGAATCTATAGGAAAAAAGAGAATTCCTCTGAATTATCAGTTTTCAATTGTGCATTTTGAGAGATAAAATGTTTCAATGTGTGGAGCTGTTTGGGACATGAATACTGGGTTGTGTTTGGTATCATACATCAAAATCACTGATATTTCCTGATTTGTGTGGAGGGCCTATGAATCTGGGTCATTATCAGAAGTGTCTATCAAAAACAGTCATGTATCATTTAGAGGAGGATATAACTTTGTTATTCCTGTTTATCCCTGGCTGTTCTGTCCAGATCTTCTCCTTGTGAAGACTCAGATCTCAAGTGAGCAGAGTGTGTGCAAACACTGTGTGGGGACAGTCCCTCCTGAGTGCCCTGTCCTTGCTGTAAATCACCTCTGCCATGATGCAAACTCAAGCCTTTTCAGTCAAAAATACCACCTTTTCCAAACTCCTTAGAGGAGACAGCTTCATCATATTCTTCATTAATTCCTACAGCTTTCTTCCTTTTAAATATTTATTTATTTCTGCAGTTTTACTTTTAGAAGCAAATCTTTGAGCTGAGACCTCTAGCTGAGCTTCTCTAGCTTTCACCTCTATTTATGAAAACCAGAACCAGCATTTAAGTGAATTCTCAGAGTCTCCTCATGGAGTTGTATGTTTTCAACAGCTAAGTCTTGTTTAAGCTGGTATTTGCAACCTCAAGCATAGTAATTTTTAAATTGTTTTCTTCTGGCTGCCTGGACTGACTTGCATGTTATTTCCTGAGGGGTTATTTACAAGTCTAAATTCAGTCTAGGGACACTAAACTTCCTAATTTTCCTTGTCAGGAATTGAAGAATCCAGTTGGATCAATACATTTTGCTCTTTCACTACAACCAGTTTAATATATAATATTTGTGTGTTGGTGAACCCAGTCCAAGTGAATAACTTGGGTCACAACAAACCCTGCAGGGCTGCAGGTTGGGGAAAGAGTGGCTGGAAAGCTGGAAAAGGACCTGGGGGTGCTGGGGACAGCAGCTGAACATGGCTCAGGTGTGCCCAGGTGGGCAAGAAGGCCAGTGGCACCTGGGCTGTGCCAGCCATGGTGTGACAGCAGGGCCAGGGCAGTGACTGTCCCCTGTGCTGGGCATGGTGAGGCCACACTTCAAGTGCTGTGCTCAATTTTGGGCCCCTCAGGACAAAAAAGACATTGAGGGGCTGGAGCATATCCAGAGAGGAGCAACAGAGCTGGGGAAAGGTTGTGGAACTGATCCCAGAAACTCACATTTATTAAACAAAGTCATTCTTTGTTATAACCATGATATTCATGCTGTACTGGTGAAAAAAATACCATGTACTCAGTAAGAAAAGTCACACATGGAGTAAAGATGTCCCTGACATGACAAACCAGCTCTTTTCAACTGGGCAATGGGCTGCCCTCTCAGGGGCAATGTATTTTTTTTTCCCCAGCGTCCTCAAATATGCAATGAAAGGCTCTAATTTGAGAAAATAAGGCAAAGGAGAAACACATCAGGAGGTGGGAGAGATTGGAATGAGATGTGAAAAGGTTAATTCAACATTCAAATATGAACCATACTACAACTGTTTCAGGGGTGTGAGGAGACAGACTCTAATACTCTAAGAATGGAAAGGAAATGTCACCACAGGTGCTAAAATAAAATTAAAGCTACTATTATGTCAAGAAAAGAGAAGAATAAAATGTATTGCCCATACAATGGAATTTGATATTACAAACCTGCTCATATTTAATATGGTGATTGTGTTCCCAGAGCTCTGTTTAACAGTGGTATGAACACCAATAACTCTCTCATTTTCAAGGGTTCAAAGACAAAACCATGCTCTGTTATGCTGGATATTGCACGAAGGATCATACAGGGACACTTTCTTACAGGTTGTTTTCAACCATTTATTGACATATTTTGGTAACAAGCTCCACTGAATTTTCCTTTGCATTTTGGTCCTGCACTCCATTTATTCACGATTCCTTTGTGGCATTCAGACAATGGGAAAAAAAACCCCACAATTTGTAGAATGGAGCACCTGGGACTCAGCCAGCACAGGAATGCTGCTGTGCAGCAGCTCCGTCTCATCATCCTCTGCACACACCTACGGTGAGCACATCTCTGGGCAAGCACGAGTGTGGCTACAGTGAGGGGTGACCTGGGAAGCAACAACATTCCAGCCACTCCACCCTCTGAAAAGCCAGATTCAGCAGATTGAATCA